AGTACTCGTAGATCAGCGGAATATATCGACTAAACTATTCCGGTTAGGTTTCTATATACTTTTCTTTCAAATAAGGGAGAACATTAGCTACTTCCGGTTTATAGAAGGCGACCTTCGGTGTCATTAAAAGGTTATTGTATACTGATTCTAAAAAAAAATAGTTGAAGTATTTTTCCCTTGAATTACTCCAAAAAATAGCTACTTCCGGTTTGCACAAGGTCACTTTCGTTTGATATTTTTCAAGATGATATGTCACCCGAACTTTTGCAAAACACTATGGCTTTATCATGTACCGGAATGAAGTTATATCAATTTTCCTTATATTTTAACATTTTAGTGGCAATAAGTCATATAAGATATCTTCAGAAAGCTTTGGACCAATAATATCATTTCTTCCTCTCAATAACCCAAACATTTTGCATCAGTTCTTTTGTACATAGCTTTCATAGTTTGAGAGGAGATGAACACACTGTACATGTCAAAGGACAAAATTTAGAATATGACCTTGACCTTCGACATTGACCTGATTTTCCAAGTTATAACTCAAGGATCTCAAATCAAAAGATCTAAAGTCTTTATGGATTACGGTTTATGAGTTACACTGACATACCGATAAAATAAATAGTGACGGGTAGATAACACCTGTAAAATATCACTGGATAGCTTCGTTCCAAATTGACCAAAGCTTTATGAGGATATAACGAACAATTTAAAAAAAGCATTTTGACGATATCTTTTTTTGTTACGTAGGAGATGCACACATAAGATAAACAGTGAATGGGGAGATAACTCTTACACAGAAAATTGTTCGGTTAAGCAGGGTAAAGTTTAAAAGCACATAAACTACACGATACAATATGAAAAATATCTAAGCTACATATTGCGAAACAAAAATTTGACGCAAGATCAAACTTTGGCGGATGAAAAAAAAAAGAATACTAAAAAACCAATTGTTCAGAGAACAATTGAAGGTCTTTCCACATTAATTTTCTAAGTTATTGATAAGAACCTACTTTCGGTTTCCTCAAAGTTACGTTTGGCGTCCAATGATAGATTTCTGCATACTGATTAAAAAAATATATGTTTTCTATATACCTTTGTCTAAAATAAGGTAGATAATTTGCTACCTCCTGTTTAGAAAATGTCTCTTCCGGTCTTATATGATAGCCTTATTCACACATATTCCAAAAATATATAGTTTTTATATATTTTTGTCTGAAAAAAGGAGATAATTTGCAACTTCCTGTTTAAAAAAATGTCACTTTCGGTCTCGTATGATAGCTTGATATACGCTGATTCCAATAATATATGGTGTCTTTAAACTTTTGCCTATAATAAGGGAGTTTATTAGGTACGGTTAGGTTTTTGAAGGTCAAATCCGGTCTCAAATGGCAGGTTTATATACAAAAATGTATGCCTATTTAAAAATTATATGGTTTCTATGTATTTTTCCGTGAAAAAAGTGCAAAAATGGCTACTTCCGGTTTACTCAAGGTCATTTCCGGTTGACATTTTTCAAGGTCATATGTCACCCAACATTTTGAGAAAAAACCCTATGGCTTTATAATGAACCAAGTTGAAGAAATAATCAATAAATCTTATATTAAAATAATTTTATGGGCAACAACTCCTATAAGATGACATTAGATTTTTTAAAAGTGACGGAGAAAATGCAAAAGTAAGCAAAATCAAAATTGAGAATATGACCTTGACCTTTGACCTTGACCTCATTTTCTAAGTTAGGACCCAAGGACCTCAAATAAAAAGACTCTAGTTTTATACGGTTAACGGTTTATGAGTTACAAAAACATAACAATTTTTTTTGGTAAAGTTAGATAACTCCTATAAAATTTCACCGGATCGCTTCGATCCAAATAGCCAAAAATTCCTGAGAATGTAACGAACAATTTAGAAAAATAATTTTGTTAATATCTATTTTTGTTACGAAGGAGATGCACACACAAGATAAACAATGAATGGGGAGATAACTCTTACAAATAAAATTGTTCGGCTTAGCAGGGTGAAGTTAAAAAGCTCATAAACTGTACGATACAATGTAAGAAATATCTTAGCGCATATTGGGAAAGAAAAATTTAACGCAAGAACAAAATTTGGCGGAAGAAAAAAAAAATAATAATAATAATAATCAAAAAGCAATTGTTCAGAGAACAATTGAAGGTCTTTCCACATTAATTTTCTAAATAATTGATGAGAAGCTACTTCCTGTTTCAAAGTTACTACTGGCGTCCAAGCATAGGTTTCTTCATACTGATTCAATAAATATATGGTTTCTTTATATTTTTGCCTTAAATAAGCGAAACTGTCAACTTCCGGTTTAAAAAAATGTCACTCCCGGTCTTATATGATAGCTTTATTCACACTTATTCCAAAAATAAATGGTTTCTATATACTTTTGCCTGTAATAAGGGAGATATGTAGCTACTTCCGGATTATTGAAGGTAATTTCCGGTCTCAAATGATAGGTTTATGTATGTCTATTTAGAAAATAAATAGTTTCTAGGTATAAAAGTATAAAATAAGTGCAAAATTGATATTTCCGGTCATATGTCACACAACATTTTGCAAAAGACCCTATGGCTTTATCATGTACCAAGTTGAGTAATAATCTATTAACCTTAAATCTAACCATTTCAGGGACAATGACTCCTATAAGATGTCATTGGAATGTTTCAGACCAAATGTATCATATCTTCAACACAATGAGGCAGACATTTTGCATTAGTTCTTTTAAAAATATCTTTAAAATTGTCAGTGGAGATCATAAAACAACAACAAAAATCGCTTCGGTTTAAATTGGACAAAACATCCTTAGGATATAACGAGCAATTTACTAAAATAAATTTGTCAATTTCTTTCACGGTTACGGAGGAGATGCACGAACAAGAAAAACAGTGTTTGGGGAGATAACTCTTGCAATAAAAAGTCTTCGACTAAACAGTGTCAATTTTAAAAGGGCAATAACTGTTCGATATCATATGCAAAATATCTAAGCGACATCTTGCGAAACAAAGCGGGTCAGTTTTAAAAGCGCATGAACTGTTCCATATCATATATCAAATATCTAAGCGACATCTTGCGAAACAATCAAACAGAGCAAGAAAAAAATTGACGGAAGAAAAAAACAAAATCACAACAAAATCAATAGGTCTTTCCACGGAAAAGTGGAATGAACATTTAATCAAAACAAAAGCAAAAGGTCTTTTCACGGAAAAGTGGAAAGACCTAAATAATCCAACATTTTACGAAAAAGAAAAGTCTATGCAGATTCAAATATTTTGTTTCAAGAAAGGATATATGATGGTTCGAACAAGATTTTTTAAAGCTGACATCATCAAAATGCTGTTGTTTCACAATGAATAAATAGAGATGTGGATGTTACTCAATGATAAAAACTTAAAACCATTTAGAATGCAAGATATTTGCACGTTTTGTGTACATATTTTGCAACAGCATTCCTACATGAACAAGCTGTGCTCTAATCTGTGTAATTATTTTTTTTCAATTCATAAAGAGACTTCATACGGGGAATTCCAAAGAAGATTGAAAACTAATATCCTTAAATGTAACTTTCTGTTGTACAAATAATATCTTCCCCATCAAATAACAAAATAATATCTTCCCCAGAAAATAACAAAAAGTAAAATAACAAAAATAGCGACGAATGGAAAACAAATGTCATTTCCTTACTTGGTACAGGCATTTCCTGATGTAGAAAATGGTGGATTAAACCTGGTTTGATAGCTAGCTTAACCTCTCACTTGTATGACAGTCAAATTAACTTCCATTATATTGACAACAATGTGTGAACAAAACAAACAGACATAATAGGTAAAAATGTCAAAAGTTAGGGTACAGCAGTCAACATTGTGTTTAAGTCTTAATCACTATAAAAACAATCAAATATGTCAATAAAGAAAACAAAATGGCTAATGAACAAAGCACATAAGCAAAAATGAAAGACAAGAATACATAAAATGACCACAGCACAATAACACAATGACGGGATGTATAACTACCGATCCACGCCTAAAGGATATTACTAAAAATGGACTAAACAGTAAAGGTTAATAATTTACAAAGACAAATAAACAAACACTATAACACGTAATTAAGATGATAAACAACGCCAGGACCTAGAATCTATACTTCAAGACCATCATGTATTATTTGTTAAGTTGATACGGAATATTTATCAGCAAGGTATTGGGTATCTTCCGATGAATTTTTTTAGAAAAAAGGACGAGACGTTCTTTGACATAACCCTGGTCCATCAACTTTCTGCTCAGACACTGGTGACGTTTTATAAAGTCTGAATAGCTGCTGCAAGCTCTTGGATACCGAATGAGTTGGGAAATGTATATCCCATATGCAGGTGAAGTTGGTATATTGCTACTAAGGTGGGGGAAATTGATAATTTCAAAATTGAAATCGTCTCGTTTGTCATAGATTCTGGTACTGAGATGACCGCTTATGTCAAATTCGAGGTATAAGTCTAAAAATGAGGCTGATGAAGCCGTGTCTGTCTTTAATTTCTGGAGAAACTATTCCTTGAATATGTTGATTGTTTTACTAGTTTTCCCGTTTTGCACACTCTGGTAAAATTTGTAGGATAGTGTTTTTCTATAGTAGTAACCAGAATTAACATTCTCTTCGTCATTTATGCTAAATGTCAACAGATTTTTAACTGAATAGGAACATTAATCTTTTTTTCTTTTTTTTTTTGTTATGGTCATTATTCTGACGAAAGAGGTATAAAGCCATAATTTGCCCCTTGAATTTAGTATTCAAAAAGTATTATAAAATTATCAAATGACATTAATTTGAAAGTCTTGAATAATTTTACTATTTTCGCAAGTTCATGGGCCAACATAATAGCTGTTATTACCTTCTCCTTTGTTTGAATAAATGAATATTCGCTCTATTTCAAATGGAATATTTGCGATATAAGGGATGTTATTATATAAAGTTAGAAACTGGTTTTGATTTGTTATTTTTTAAGGTTTTAGTACACAAATAACTACGTTTTCCGGATTAGAAGCATATTGGAATTATACGTTTTCTGTAGTGGCTGCAACAGACAAAGGCAATAGTGAGCAGTCCGAAATGTCTGTTAAAGTGACAACACGTCAAGATGGTAAGCATATTGTTTTTTTTTAAATCAAAATGTATACATAACATCAGTCTTGTTTGATATATGACATCAATGATAGTAATTCTATTAATGTTCCTTTTCATGAAAATAGATGCCAAAGAATTATTACCTTCATTTTGGGTTTATATGCTATTTTATCTGCTTAAATTTGCTCATTAGATCCAAAATACCTGAAGAATTAAGGAAGTATAAGCTTATTCAACCATTTGCTGAAACAATTAGAAAAAGATGTGTCATCAAACTTCAGATATAATTTAGTTAAATTCGGATTAATATAACATAAAAATACAACAATTCAATCCAGATGTTCGTTAAAGTCATTATTCATACCCTTGTGTGTTGTTTTATTTTGTTTTTTTTTCGTGCTTGTTTTGTCTGCCTTTTAAAACATGGCATTCAGTCTTTTTATGACACTAAAAAAGACATGCGGTATTGACACTTTAAATTAATGCAACAGTTGTTTACCGATGTTCAAATCTCATAAATCGAACACGAAATACAAACAGAAAAGCACCATGATACCTATTTTCAAATATATTGATTAGGATTTGTCGCTCAATCGCCCATATTTCAACGCGTGCTTTCATCTCTTATCTCACATTGAACCTAAAAGAAATAAGAATACTATCGAAACTAAAAGCTCTCCTTCATTTCAATTTTGTACTGCCTGTCTAAAATTGAAAGAGGCATTATATTCACTGGTCTGGGCGTTTATCCGTCTGTTAGTCCTTGTTGTTTTCGGTTAACGCTTGGTTTCATGAAATTTACATCAAAGCTGTGGTCACATGAACTTCAAAACTTAGTTCAGTATGTTATTTTGTGGTGTAGAGATTGCATTCATGCAATCAAAACCCTTATGTGGCTGGCTTGCTAGTAATCAGTTTTCCAAATTTTATCAATACTTTGAGAAACACGAAATATAGTGCATTTATCATAGTATTCCATACGCCTTATCTATAAACATTTCCAGAAATTTATCAATGAAATATATATGCTCAGATGTTCAAGTTACAAAATGATGTTATACATGTCAAGAAAATCACAAAACTTGTGCAAGGTGCAGCAATCTAATATTTGTTCTTGAAATATCAATGATGTCATTGTACAAGTAATCTTTAAAATTGGAGTAATCTTCCTTTGTCCATAATTGTAGTTGATTCAACAACAACCAATGCTTTCAACAATTCAATGTTTAATTTTACTTCCCGATAATAAATTAAAGCAATCTTTACACTTCAGTGCTTACAAGCTCTTTAATTAGATTAACATGATACATACAAATCAAGGGCTTTTACCCTGATTTTGCAATTTACTGAACATTAAAATGCAAATGTTCAAGGAAGCATGGTGTGCCATTGACACATATTCATGTTTCAAATTGATACTATGGACGACTTTAAACTTCAGCTTCCCATATTCAAATAGAAACATAGCCTCTGTCCAATTTTATGAAGTTTATATATATGGGTAGATAAGTTACTCGCTTGCATGTTCAAACACGAAGAAAAGTTGTAATACATCAAATATAAACCTATCCAAATTTGCTTTACACTTGTGAATACAATATTGTTTTTCTTGAAAATAATTATGATGTATCTAAAAGGAACTAATGTATGGTAAAGAAATAAGGGGTAATGTAAGAGATGCATATTTTATCTCATGCTGTTTTGATTTGTTTTTCATATTAAACTAACTATCCTTTTACAGCTCCCGGCAAAGTGACAAATTTTAAAATAACAAGACCATCCAATATATTTACGACTATGGAAGTTTCTTGGGATATGCCTTCACTTAGAGACAGAAATGGTATCATAAAAGAGTTTAAAATAATCCATAATATTAGTGGGGTAGGTAAAACAATATTTTTGCTATGTCTTTCATTTTTATTTTAGTTCCCCTATCCTATGGATTATGTGGGCTATTACCATCACTTGGTGTCGTCTTGTTAAAAAAAATATAATCTTCTATGAAACTCTGAGACCAATTTTAACCAAACTAGGACTGAATATCCTTTAGGATATCTAGTATTAAGATTTGATAAGTAATTAAACGCAGTTTGCTGTTATTGGCATGATGTAAAAACATTTTGAGAGCGCTTTAATTAGTTCTTACTTATTTGGGTTCTCAGATTTTGTTTGTTGCCTTGATTTGTATCTTCTTCATGGATTGATAAAATTTTTAACGTAAGTTAATTAGCTTTGTGTGTCAGTGAGCTGTGATATCCATTTTCATTATTGCAACCGCCGTGGCGGAGGGGGCATTACGTTTACCTTTGTCTGTCAGTTCATTCATACGTCCCAATATTAGTTTCCGTTCTCCAACTTTAGTTTTCCTCAACCAAATGTTATAAAACTTATACACAATGCTTACTACCACCAAACACAGATCAAGTATTAATCTGAATGGTGTCATTTCACCGTTCTTGATTTATGTCGCTTTATAAATGGAAAAACTGCTAAATTTGCCGTTTCCGCTCTCTAACTTTAGTTTGCCTCAACCAAATGTTATAAAACGTATACATTGCTTATTACCACCACATGCAGATCAGGTTGGAATTTGGGTGGCGTCACTTTCGACGTTCTTGAGTTATGTTCCTTTGTAAATCGTAAAAATGCAGATTTTGCTGTATATTTTCAAGCGGGGGCAGTTGTGTCCCATGGACACATTCTTTAATTATTTCATTACTATATCATTCTTATCTAGATATCAAAATATTATCAAAGTGTGATTTTTCTTTTGTATCGCCTTCAATTAAAGTCCAATAATGCGAGAAAAATGTATGCTAATCAGACATCTACATCTATCTACATCTACATCGTTGAAATGCAAAGGGTCTAAGACCCATCACGCAAGTACTAATTAAGTCATTCAATATGGTGCTTATTAAAAACATTTTTACATGTGAAATTAAGATTTAGTGTTTTTTGCGTGACTACTCTGTTAAATAAGATGTAAGGCTGTTCTTGAATGCCTCTGCATCTTCTATATGTTATCTTCTATAACAGATTTATTGGTAAGCTATTCCAGTCTTTGATGGTACGTGGAAAGAAGCTGTATTTGTAGGTGTTGGTTGAAGTTTGTAGGTTTCTAAATTTACTTTGGTGATATTACCGTGTTGTCCTGCTTTGCTGTTCTACATAATCTGGAATATTTATAACGATTTCATGATGTAAAGCTTTGTGAAACAAGGCAAGCCTTTTTATTTTCCGTCTGGTCTCTAATGATGGTAATTTTAGGTCATTCATTATGCTAGTAACTGACCCAGGTCCTCTGCTGTATTGATGTTTTATGAAACGTGCTTCTTTGTACCATTTTTATCTGTTTGATGTGGTTTTCCTGATATAGATCCCAGGCACTGTTTGAGTATTTTTCTTGTTGGTTATTCTTAGAACATAACATTTTGACGCATTAAATTTCATCTGCCATTTAGATGCCCAGTCGACTAATGTATCCAGATCTTTTTGTAATTGTTTGCAGTCATCATTGCAATCTATTATAAGGTATAAAAGGCTATCATCTGCAAAGAGGCGCAACTTTGACTTGATGTAATCCCCATTATCATTGATATATAAAAGAAACATCAATGGGCCTAAAAGACGTAAACTATTTTCATAAAACTTTATATTTCAGAAGGAAGAATACCTGAATGTTTCATAACTTGTATATCTATACTTTCTGTTACGAAGTTTCCGTTTGTCATATGTCCATTGTCCTGGACATTTTAATCATCGTTCAGGCACTGCTTTTAAAATTATATAGTTTTTTTGTCATGTAAATATCGTACTTATAATGAGTAATAGGATAATAATGTTTAGTACATGGGATCCTTGCAAGGTTTACTTGTCCATCAGACAGAGTTCAATTGACCTCAAACTCATTTTATGGATCAGTGATCAAGGTTAAAGTTACACAATTAGGTGTGTTGCTTAGAAACTTTAAGCAGTAGATCAACTTTATTTGATATATGGATTGATGTAAAGTTTACATGTCCGACTGACAGGTTTTATCTGACTTTGACCTCATTTTTTTCGTTTATAAACCAATGTTAAGTTTTTGTGTTTTGATATGTTTCTCAGATATTATTAACATTAGATCAACAATATTCGGTATATGAAATAATTGCACACTGTATATGTCTGTCTGGCATGTATCAGTTGACCTTGACCTTGTTTTCATAGTTCATTGGTCAATGTTAAGCTTTCTTGGTTAAGTCTGTTTCTTGAGACTCTACAAGGAACTGATAAACTGTGTACAAGTCTGTTTGACAAGGATCATCTGGCCTTGACCTTGACCCCATTTAAATGGATCATTGATAAGATTTGTTTTATTTGATACTTCAAGTAAAATCGTTTTCTTAAATACTTTCAACATAATACGATAATAATCAAATAAACCAGACAAGAGATGTCAGCGTGTGCAGACTTGGTTTATAATATTGAAAACAAATTAATTCGATTGAATAATCCTTAGTTGTTGTATTTTTGAAAATGGATTAAAGTATAAACATAGCGGTCCGCCAAAATTTAGACTACATGTACTAGTTTATTTTAAAATACACCGTACTCTATAACAAAACGTTTGAAATTGATCAAAGTTACCAGTGTCAAAGTGTCACGGAATAGAAGTTCCTTCATAATATAAGTTCCAAATGGAAACTATATTCTGGAATATTATTTCCACTGGAATAAATATTACAGTAAATGTTCCTAACGGAATAAATGGTATAGAATATTTGTTCCAACAGGAACAGATATTATGACATTGTTTATAACAAAGTTTCCAGTGGAACTTCTGTTAGGCGGAACAAATATACGTTGACAAAAGGTCAAGTGTCACAAAAGTCAGTATTTTTAGCGTCCATTGTATTAATTTATCTTAGAAATTGCCTTCGCTATTTATCGTCTGCTTCCTAAACAAGCTGGAAACTGTGTAAAAATTAGACACAAGTAAAATCAGATTCACTTATCAGATGAATTGCTGACTTACGGAAAAGGTATGAAAATGCAAGGTTTTGATAAATTGTTTTGTTCTGAATGCAAATATACTCATCTGAAACCACTTGACCAATTTATACCAAAAATTAACTAAATAGCCCTTAGGGTACTAGTATCTAATATAAACTTTGCATTCTGTTCCCACTAACAATAAAACATCAGGATAAATGCATTTATTGTCTTGGAAACAATAATAGATAAAGAAAAATCTTACATAGTGAAATGCTCAGAATGTTAAGATCTCTGCACTTCCTAATTCCACCTAAATTATAGGAAGATGATAAGTAGAAACTGTATACAGCACAACTGATCAACAATACAAGCTGTTCAAAAATCCCAATATGACGGAAACCATTGGATGACTCCATATGAGTAAATGCCCTTAAACGAAGATTTTTGATTAATTTATGAGTTTCGCCTCTTATCTTGAAAACTATCATAGATAGGTGGAAACAGTGAACAGTAAAAAATTATCAGCTTCACAATTATATGACTTTAAGTAGTAGCAATTTCCCATAAGTGACAATTGTGACTAATTTTCAAGTTTTTGCATATTATCTAAAAAACTAGAATTGATAGGTAGAAACTGAAAACAGCAAAAATGATTCAGATATGTTTTGCTAAGTTTACATGTATTGATTCGTGATTAGTTCGGTTTAAGGGGAACCATTAATGGCAGGTCAATAATTTTTGGTACGCATGTTTATTAACACCCCCCCCTTTTTTTTCAGCCATGGTTTATTGACTGAATATTTGTTTGCATATAGTTAACATATTAAAGTTTGTTATTAGATCAGATTAAGATATAAGTTTAATGATAGTTGGTATGAAGTCGTATTAGTATTTGCAAGTGTCATTTTAGTGAAGAGTGTATGCCCTGCACTATCATCATGGTTCATTGTTAAAGCTTGTATTAAGGTTAATTTCAAAGAGAATTTTCATGCAGTTTTATAAGTTTTTGCATTCTTCATTTTAATTGAGATTATTTGGCCCTCCACCTTAAGTCATTGTTCATTAACTTTGAATGTTATGCATAGTTTACAGGTTTAAATATTGTGATTTAAATCTCAACATTTGCATTTTACAATCAAAATCACAAATAGCGTTAATTTGCATCTCTGCCCCCGGCAACACGTTTTGGGGAATCAACCTAAAAAATGGGCAATAATGTCATCAAAATGAGAAAGTTTGGTACACCTTTTTTTGTTCAGGCGTGTTTGAGTTGACTATTTTGTCTTAAAAACGTCTAAAACATTTTCTTTTTGTGTGTGTAATTTCTAGGGTAGTTGTCTTCAATCTCTTTTGCCTTCACTTGGCGTTTTTAGTCTTCCCGTCTATGAAATATTTTATTGTTTTTTGAACTTTCGAAAATTCACCTAGACAACCTATCAGGCAATATTAATATTTTGTGTTGACAAATGAAATAAAAGTACATTACATGATTCTTAACAGCTATTAGATACATTTGACTTTTAAAAAACATCTATCATGTAAGAATGGTTATCATGCTATGTGGATGAATTGATCGGTTTGCAACAGCACGTCATCCCTACAATGGCTTCCGTTTTCGCGATTGAAAAAAAATGGTGGCGTAATGGGGAAATGATTTTGACGAAGTAGAATCCTGACCGTATGAAAATCAAGAATTTAATTTAAAACCAAATAAAAGACCAAAGTATAAGCGCAAAAGAGTTTTTTTCATAACGAAAATTTTGTTATTATGGGTTCTTCAAATGGTACTTTATCAAGTGTCTGTACAAATTAATAAATATTTTCAGAAAACATTTAAAATCATTATATAGTTTTCGTGCACGTTTCTGTTTATTTAGACAGTTACAAAAGAAGTTGTTACTGCAGAAGTTGAGAGGTTCCAAAAACTATATTACATTACACCAAATAGATATTATATGATTGAGGTGAGTATGTTTGCGTTATGTTAATTAGAGGTTCTCTAGACTTTTGTGGCTATGTGGCTCAACTGAATATGTGTGCATTTTCATCAATGACCACTGTCGATTGTTGGGACACTAGCTAGAATTTAATTCGTGAGTAAAATCTCTTTTTTTTTGTTGTTGATCTTGTATTGCTACATGTAATCATTTTTTTTTTTCTGTAAACGGTTTATCTCTTTATACCGGTACAATAGTTTTAACCCCAAACATTAATAAATGGTGAAAAGTTTTATTCAGAGACAATTGATATGTACTCCTGAAAGCATGGGCAGACAATTTCCGCCTTGTTGACCTATTTGTAGATCTTGTTTTACAGATCATTTTTTTGTTAGATAAGAATAATATTTTTTAAATTTATTTGTCCTTAGCGGTTTTCTGGATTAATCATCTTCATCAGGAACACTCAAATCTAAACATGTGAAAGCCAAGGATGAATAATTACCTAAACACCTTAAGAGCTATATGACCAAACTATAATAACCTAATACATCTAAGGTATAATACAATGCTTACATTCGTCATTTCAGGGCAATTATTCATATAAAGTGTCATGGGGCCTTTTCTTACAAAAGAAACAGTATATCTTGATATCCTTTTTATTTTTTTTCTATCTGAAAACGATTTTCGGCAATAGAACAATACAAGCATTTTATCCCTTTGTTCTATGTTTTTTTTGCCATGATTTGTCATGCTGGTTTGCAAGTGGGATGATCAGAAAATATTAATTATATTAAACAAATTTGGTTTCAATTGACCAAGTAGTTTCAGAGGAAAGTGAACAGATGACCACATGATGGACGACAAATTATGGAAAGAGCTCACTATGGCCATTTGGTAAGATACAATGAAGGAGGAAAATTTAGTGAAAGAATAATTGGTCAATGAAGGGCAGACAAGATTTAAGCCAAGATTTAAGCCAAAAGAAAACAATTAAAACACATACTGTAGTCAAGAAGCATTTTTTATAAAACGAATGGTTGAGCAACACGAAACCCTCGACAAATCGGTAGTAATCTAGATGCTGTATCTGATTTACCAAATACATCCATCAACTCTACAAGAGTTAAAATATAATTTATATACATGGACTCCCTCCGGGGTCCCCAAAAATAAAAACAAAAAACCCAGCCGGCAAAGTTTTCTTGTTTTTTATTAAATTTTTAACGAATTCAGGTATAATGCTCGTACCTTGATCTTTTCGTACAATTGAAAAAACATTTGTTTGCATACGCAGTTCGTCTTATAATTTAAATTACCTCTTTTTTCCAGCTCTATGCAGTAAATAAACTTAACCAAGATGGAGAAAAAGATTTGAAAATATATTACGCATCATCAAAAATTGAATGTAAGCTGTTTGTATTTGAAAATGATAAAGAAATAATTTTCAGTTAAAACAAGAGATATCATGTTACTTGAAATCTCTACAGAAGAAATTGGCTCATATTATCTTTCATTGTTTTAAATATTAATATAGGACACAGACAAGAAATATGAGCCCTGTGAACCCCAAATAATAATCATATAAGACTGTAAGATACAGTTGGGTGATGTGAGCTTTTGCCTTCACTTGGCGTCCTTCGTCGTCATCGCAAACTTTTTCCAATATCTTCTCTTCTGAAATAACTAAACCAATTTCAAACAAATTTGGGGTAAATGATTCTTATTGTACATAGAATAAGTTTTATATACTCCCAGTCAGTCATCAAACATTGCCGCCATGGCTGAAATTGGAACATAAGGGTGAATTACTTAAATTGTATTATATCTTGAAAACTATAATAGATAGAAAACATCTAATTAGGACAAAAATGCTCCGAACTTCAATATCTACTAACTTGCAGTTACTAAGTTTTCAGATGACACATTATTGAGTTGTGGCCATAGCTTCAGAGCTTATTTTCATGTTTTCGCCTTTAAGCTCAAAAACTAAATTAGAGTGGTAAAACTGTTTGAGGCAAAATCAAAAAATAAACAAAACAATATGTTCAGCAATGCCAATATGACTGGAACCTTTTAATGACTCCTTGAAGGGGTATAGCTGTGAAGTTTGTTTCAAACATTTATGAAAGCGGATTTGCGAAATAATGTCTCGCATTAAGCAATCAGTTTTTGTTTTTTTTTTTTTGGTCAAAATAAGCTCAAAAACATCGATGAAGTATTATTGACTTGCAAGTCAATTATTCAACTAATTTCAATCGTATCCAAGTGAACTTCAATTTAACCCTTAACTGGGATGGTCTTCGAATGAGCTAATATAAATTAGAAGATGTGGTATGAGTGCTAATGAGACAACTATCCATCCAAGTCACAATGTGTAAAAAGTAAACAATTATAAGGCCTTCAACACAGATCCTTGGCTCACACCGAACAGCAAGCTATAAAGGGCCCAAAAATGACTAGTGTAAAACAATTCAAACAGGAAAACCAACGGTATAATCTATATACAAAAATTAGAAACGAGAAACACTTATGAACGACAACCACTTAACAACAGGCTCCTGACTTAGAACAGGTGCATACAAATGCAGCGGGTTTAAAAGTTTTAACAGGCGCCAACCTTTACCCTAACCTGAAACAGTAGTGTAACATTGCAACATAAAAAGACACACAATAAAATATCAATTGAAATGGCTTAACTCGATCAAAAAGACATTTAAACAAAAAAAGGTAGATATACACTGAACGAATAAGTTTGATCTATGACACAATATAAATACAATTAAATGAAAAGGATGTAATAATGTCAAAGAGACAACTTTAACCTAGAACAAAATGGCGTTAAAAAAAGTAACAAGCATGTTTGGTTACTTAAAAGAAAAGAATGTCAACTTTGAAAAGTGATAGTAAATAGGTAGAAACTCCAAACAGCAAAAATAGTCAGCAATACAAGATCCACAAAAGTTCTTAAACAACCAAATCAATTGGATGATCCTTACGAATTAGCCTTAAACAACCATTTTTTTCATTATGCTTGGGTATTTTGTATATTTTTTCTAATATCATCTCCTCTGAAACTTCTTACCCAATTTCACCCAAACTTTGGGTGAATGCTTCTTATGGTTTAAAGTATACATTTTGTATTTGTTTTATTCGGTAAGACACCAAGCATGGCCGTCATGGCAAAAAATTCAACATTAGGGTAAACTGCTTGTATTGTCTGATATCTTGAAATCAGAATAAAGAAGAGTCCAAGTGTTCAGGATTTAAATATCCATCTACTTACAATTTTACCATAATTATCAGATGACTCATTAAGAATTGTTTTTCCTGCCAATCATCTGGGAATTGTCATAGAAAAGTAAACTGTTAAAGGCAACAATAATCAGCAATACAACATCTACAAAAATGCAAATATCGAAACCATTGGATGACTTCTTATAGAGTTATGGTCCTTCAATGAGAATTTTCGACGAATTTTCATGGTTTTGCAAATTATCTCAAGAACTATAAAATAAAGATGAAAATTGCAAACAGCAAAATTTATCAGCAAAACAGAATATTCAACAAGCCTATATGATCTAAACCACTGAATTAAATTATATGAGTTGTTGCCCTTGGAACATTCTTTTTTTTTTTTTATTTTCATAATTTTGCAAATTATCTTGAAAACTATAATAGATAGGTAGAAACAACTGTAAAAGAAAAACATGAACAGCTATACAAGACCTAGAACTATTGAATTCCTCCTAAATGAATGATTGCTCTTAAATGACTTGTTTGTGTTTTTTATCAAACTATAATATATAGGTACAAAAATGTACAATATGTGAGTTGCAAAGATTATCAGCAATACAAGATATACGAGAATAAAATAACTGATTGCAATTAAGCTAAACAAAAATATATCAAAATGGAATCTCTTTACCAGATGAGCGATTCTGGCCCTTAGGATTCTCAAGTTTTATTAGTTTACACATTGAAAATAGAAGGAAGTGGTATATCTCTATATTTCTAGTGTAGCATGATATATATTCCAAAGTGAAATTCTCAAGCTTTGGCATGTGCTGTTAAGTTGTTAATGAAAAGTTATATAATTTTAGCACAACCACAGGTGTTACTTGAAGGATATTCTATAGAGACAGTAATAGGAGCTGTAGTTGGCTGTGTGTCATTCAGTGTTCTTATCATGGTGATTGTAGTTTGTTTTATTTCCAGACAGAAGAAAAATAAAAAATCCAATCAATCAAGTAAGAATTCATGATTTTTGTATAATGGATGGTTACATGTATGCCTTTTATAAGAGAATATGAAATATACTTCACCGTGGAAATTTTTCCTTTATTCATTTTGTTTCTCATTGTTCATGGTGTGAAGACTTTATTATACCGTTTCTAAATGCCAAAAGGTAATGTGTTTTCGTATGTGAACCAGTAAACCCAATTGTATATAGAATTACAATAAAGGAATAAGAAAAACGAAATTCAAATGATAATACACAAATGAGTCAATTAAAGGTACAAACAGCAAATTATCAAGCAAAAACTGCAATATAATATGTATTGATAACATTATTTTACTGCTCAGGATGCGCAGTTAAACAATTTATGTCTTTTTGCCATGCTATGGGCTAAAATATTTGAAAATCAAAAGTCTTTTGGTGGATGGGGTCTTAATTAAAAACCATAGAATTTTTTAATAATTTGTCAAAATGTAGTTTTTATCATGCTTTTTCCAAAATATAATAAAAAATATGGGTCACCGGACTTTTTTCACGCTACAGGTTGTGCAAAATTGTCATATTTTGTATAGATTATGCATGGAAAATTCAACTTTGTGTGATAAAAAGAAAACTACACCATAGAATTTTAAGATAAAATGTGAAAAAATAGCTCTTATAACATGCTTTCAGATAAGAAAAAGAAAAAAATGGGGTCACCGGACTTGTTTTCTTGCTACATATTAAAAAAGGGTCAATTCACAACACTTTCTATTGTAAAAATTACTTTATCTGAGTCATCTCCCCTACTATCTGAGTTATCTTCCCTTATGTGGTGAAGTTGGAAAAAAAATGATTCTAACAAAGATATTGTGTTTTTTTAGAAAATACAGCGTAAATATGATAAAACACATAATTTTCTATATTAACATGAAAAATCTTACACATGAATTGCATACTACTCTCAAAATTTGCACATTTCATTTAAGATCTAGACCAATTGTTATCTGCTACTTCAAAATCCAAGATGGAGGAAGACACCCTAGCCACCTTAAACTAATGTTGTACATGAAAATAACACAAATTTTGGGCATCCGAAGAGCTTTTCCGGATTACGCTTCATCAGAAATTCACAAACTAAAGAAAATTGAAACTCATGGATGTATGAGTATTTAGATACTCCAGGAGCTATATGGCTAAAAGGGACATAAAAAGAATAGACAAATTTACCTAATGTCAACTTTGTCTGAGGGGGTTAGCACCTTAGTTTCTGTATAATATCTTAAATCATGAACGAAGAATATGAAAAAAAGTAAAATAACAAAAATACCGAACTCCAAGGAAAATTCAAAACGGAAAGTCCCTTAACAAATGGCAAAATTAAAAGCTCGAACACATCAAACGAATGGAAAACAACTGTCATAATCCTGACTTAGTACAGGCATTTCCTTATGTAAAAGATGGTGCATTAAACCTGGTTTTAAAGCTAGCTAAACCTCTCACTTGTATGACAGTCGCATAAAATGTCATTATATTGACAACAATGTGTGAGCAAAACAAACAGACATAATAGGTAAAAATGTAAAAAAATGGGGTACAGCAGTCAACACTGTATAAAAATCTTAATCACTATAAAAACAAACATCAACTATGTCAACAAAGAGAAACAAAATGGCATGTAGACACTCTCTAGACAAAACACATTAGCAAAAATGAAAAACAAGAATATAAAATGACCACAGCACAATAACACAATGGCGGGATGTATAAATACCGATCCACGCCAAAAGGATATTACAAAAATGGACTAAACAGTAGAGGTAAAAAATATAAAAAGTCAATTAAAAGAACACTATAACACGTAATTAAGATGATAAACAATGGTTCATACCAAAGCATTGACTACTGATGAAACCCTTATGGTATCATTGAAGTGCTGATTAAACCAAAAGGGTCGAAAAATAAAGGCAAAGTTTTTATTAAAATTATTTTATTGGACTACCTTAACTATATTTGGTAACAAATCTAGCTTTCTTAACCTATCCAAACATTGTTTAATTTTTTTCTTTGTAATAATTTGTAACAATAAGATAATCAATTTAATGTAGCATTAATGTTTAGTAATGATTATTTGTCTGTTGTTTTTATATTAATGATCTTTTTTTCTTTGTTTCATTTCATTTATTTTTGCAGAATTAAGACATTCGGAGGATGTGTTACAAATGTAAGTAAAATTACATATACTTATATCTATTGTATCCAGTTGTTACACAAAGCAAGTTTTCGAAGTATTTAAAATAATGACTAATCTATACATCCAAAAATGAAGTATTTTACACCATACTTTAAGTTTTCACAGCAAATATAGTACTATTAATGAAATAAAGTACTTTAGTGTAAATAATGATAACAATCATCTACAAATTTTAAAGACATGTGAAAACAAAATATTAACAAAAGTATTAAAAGCCCAACCGAACCAATGAATCAGATCTAAACGTATAAAGGAATTATGAGTGATGATGATGATGATGGATTACTGCTTAACGTCCAGCAGCAAATTAATATGCATATACAGGACGAGAACATGTTAATGTAATATGAATATTAACCTTGCTTTGTATTAGACCGACACGCTGAGCCGGATTTGTAACGTTCTATTTCACAAGGTAACAAGGTAACAGTCCGCAGGAAGACATATCACCTTACCCGGACACATTATTCTGACTCCTTGCCGGCCAGTCTTTGCTCTTACTCCTTAATGCCACGTGCTTAGCGGATAAGCAGCAAATACTAATTTTAAAGTCTTTGGTTTGACCCGGCCGGGGTTCGAACCCACGACTTCCCGCAATCGAGGCGAACACGCTACCACGAGACCACCGAGGCGGTTGGAATTATGAATGACAACACTACATATACAAACATATAAATATACAATAAGCGCGTTTCCTTTACATAAGACTCATCAATTGCACACAAATCAAAACAGTAGAAAAGCCAAATTAAATATTAGGTTGAAGAGCATTTAAAACAAAATTTCCGATTAATTGTGATGAAAACAGCTAAGACTAGCTATGCCTGATGTAGGCAAAAACCTTAAGACTTTTGGATATTTCAACATTTAATAAACATTTACAGCAAAGGATATCCTCGTTGACGATACGTGCACCCGTAAGGATATCGACCAAGGGGTTGTAAGAACACATCAAAGTTACCAGACTTATAACTTGGCACGAAAGACATGCGTTCTGTCTACACAAGTCTCCTCGGTGGCGCTCCAATCAAACAGTTTGAAGGCCAAATAAGATATGAAGTTGAAGAGCATTTAAAAAAATTAAAATTTTAAAAAGTTGTCCCGAATGTAAAATTACAAATCTATTGCATCTTAAATTATCGTTTCAGTGGAGACCAGTACGAAGAGTTAGGAATGAACAATATATCTCATTATCAGGAACTTGGATCAAAAGAAAATCAGACTATATATGACCAGACCGATAGAGTGCATACCTTAGATAAACAATATGAAAACCTGATGCTTAAGATGAACTAATCTATAATGTTTAACCAATACAGATAAATATACGTGGGTTTTTTAACTGAATATTACAACTTGTGTACATATTCAATAATGGTCGTCCCGTACTTTAATTTCTCTTCAGTTTTCACATATGCAGGGTCCTTAACGTGATTTAACAGTAATCTTTAGTTTGAAATTCATCAATCGCATTCCACAAGTGCGAAAGGGATGATAGAAAAAGTAAACAAACATGAAAGGAAGTGAGTATTGAACGATTCTAAAATATATCTTTTAATTCAGCAATTTTTTAACAAGTAAGTGTGGACATATATCAGTGTGGATAGTAAGTGTTTTATTAGTTTTTGTGTGTTGACAGTGTTTTTCTACTGAATGTATGCATTGGTTGTACACTTCCAGATGTTTTCTATGTTATTTCTTCAAAGCTCAAAATAAGTATAGTGCAATGTTCAAATTTATTTTCTTTTTTATTACAACATACCCTATGGGCCTGTCAGTATGACGTATCACCTGTCCGAAAAAGACGACTTGTCCAAATGTTGCATTTGCTTAAGTAATATATATAATGACATGTATGGAAATAAAATCATGTAAAAAGAAAAATAACAAAAAATACCAAACTCCAAGGAAAATTCAAATCGGAAAGTCCCTTAACCAATGGCAAAAATTAAAAGCTCAAACCTATCAAACGAATGGAAAACAACTGTCATATTCCTGACTTGGTGAAGGCATTTCCTTATGTAGAAAATGGTAGATTAAACCTGGTTTTAAAGCTAGCTAAACCTCTCACTTGTATGACAGTCGGATAAAATTCTAATATATTGACATCAATGTGTGAACAAAACAAACAGACATACTAGGTAAAAATGTCAAAAATAGGGGTACATGAGTCAACATTGTGTTATAATCTTAATCACTATATAAACAAACAAATATGTCAAACAAAATGGCATGTAGACAAATTACATATGCAAAAATAAAAGACAAGAATACAAAAAATGGCCGCAGCACAACAACACATTGGCGGGATGCATAAGTACCGAACCACGCTAAAAAGGATATTAGCAAAAATAATAAACAATAAATATAACACTTAATTAAAATGATAAATAATGTCAGTACCTAGAATCTATACTTCAAGACCATCATGAATTATTTGTTAAGTTGATACGGAATATTTATCAACAAGGTCTTGGTATCTTCCGATGAACTATTTTAGTAAAAGGGCGAGACGTTCTTTGACATAATCCTGGTTCATCAACTTTCTGTCCAGACACTGGTGACGTTTTTTAAAGTCTGGGTAGCAGCTGCAAGCTCTTGAATACCGAATGAGTTGGGAAATGTATATCCCATATGCAGGAGAAGTTGGTATATTGCTACTAAGTTGGCGGAAATTGATAATTTCAAAATTAAAGTCGTCTCGTTTGTCATAAATTCTGGTACTGAGATGACCGTTTATGTCAAATTCCAGATATAAGTCTAAATATGAGGTGGAGGGTGCCGTGTGTGTTGTTTTTGTTTTAATTTCTAGTTCTGGAGGATATGTTAATGGAACCCAATCAGAAAATTTTGGATTGTTAATGGAGAGAACATCATCAATATATCTGAATGTGAAATTATATGATCTGGCTTTTTTTATCTTCTTGTTTTTGACAAGTGTCTGAAGGAACGATTCATATGAAAATCAGAAGAGGTCGGCAAGGAGAGGCGCACAGTTCGTTCACATAGGGATGCCGAAAAGCGTTCCATTTTTCCGTAGAAAAACTTCCCATGAGTCAGCTACCGTGCCATCCTAAATCTCAGGGACTCAAAATGTTATTTAAGAACATAATGTTCTCTCCGTCTAATGAAAACACTTTGATAAAACAATTTTATCAGAGCATGAATGCAAGAAAAACAATCGCGACAAATTTCCTTCAAATGAAATACAAAGACTGGCGGCATGTCAGATTGTCTGCTACTGCAACCACCAACACAACAATAGTTCGTTTTAAAATCATTTAATAAATTACTGTAAATAAAATCAATATATATATGTCTTTTCAAAAGCGCTGTGTGCTACGGGCAAACATAATCACGTGACCAGATGATTATTTTTATAGATAATATTTTTCAACCGTTAAGTCCCACAGTCGATTAATTCTCTAAAAACATCGCTTGATGTCATAGTATGGCTAATAAGTGACTCATGCGCAATTAATCGTTAAATTAAATATTATGTCTTTTTAACATCACTTTTAATTTTAATTAATCATCTATAATTCATGATTTAATTAGCCTTGAAATGGTGAAAAATTTTGTCAATTGAAATATTTAGTGAGATGATGCATAAACAAATTAAACATATTTTTTTTGTGTTAAAAGAAGAAGGTCAATAATGTTTTGCCCTTGAATTCGAAATTATAAAAAAAAAATATAAATCTACCAAAATAACATCCTTAAGATATTCATAACACATTATTTCTGCTGAACATCATTATTGATGTTTCATAATTTTATCTCACAAATCGGCATTACGGTCTTACACTTCATACATTAGATGAAAAAAAGCAAAAACTGCAAAAATAGCCTCAGTTTGGGATCGTAATTATTTGTAGTGATCAATAATGAGCTATGGGCAACAGCTTTACACAAAAAAGATATTTTCTTCAAAATATATAGTGCAAAGATGTGAATGTATGTAAAATATCTGTTTGTGTAAAGCTGTTGCTCATATATATTTTCACCAAAAACTATGCATGAAATTGCCATTTTTTTGTTAAATATGTAAATGTGCACACGTTTATGACGTCAAAGTCACTGTGACATCACAAGTGACCTTTCTGAACGGCTATTCATACTTCCTCCTTTCTTGGATATTAAAATTAACAAGAGAGCTGATCTTAACATTTTTTGGAGAAGTACATAATGAATGAATTTCAGTTACTGCATGGGACTTTGGTGAAATTTATCAACTATTGCTTTATATAAATAAGAAAATTAGACTAAATACAAAACAATATGTATTCATCATTGATTAACAAAGTTTCAAAATAACTAAAAATAAGTAAAATCAAAACAAAGGGTAATATGAAATTCTACAAAAATGATATTTTAATTAAGATTAGAATTTTTTACACGAAAAAATAACCTTTTTACTTGATTTTTGGTTATTCGCATATTTTATATGATTGGTTAAAGGACTACATGTGGTGACTACATATATTTGATATCCGGTGTCCTAAACAATGTGGGGTTAGTTACCATATGGGGTTAGTAAGGAGTTACTTCCCTTTCAAAACAAAAAAGAAATCTCAAAAGTTTCAACAGACGAATAAATTGACAATGAATGATTGAAATGAAATCATAAAACAAATTTAAAGCTAACAAGTTGTTAAAGTTGGCATTTGTTTTTTGTATAGAGAAATGGAAGTAGGTTGTTAATACTAAGTATTGAAGACTTAATCACTTTGATAGGCCGCTAGTCTTAATACCACATGTGAAAATAGTCGGTAAGATAAATTCGTTACACGGTGTGCTAGTGACCTAATACGATATATATGGGGTCAGTAAATTCCACATGGGTTGAGAGCGAATCGTATTAGGTCACTAACACACCATGTAACTAATAATATGTAGGAAAGTGGTACGACAGTGCATGTGCATATAACGACACAAAACTACTCAATCTGCAACTTAAATGCACACTAAAGCGTATCTGATAGCCAGTTGTATTATAAACGCATTTTTTTGATTTTTTACAAAGCCAAAACCTTTATCTTACTTTTTGCCCGGTCGTACCCATTTCCTACAGTGCAGTTTTTCATAAAATGGAAAGAAAAAAACATGTTGCTTTTTTCTTTCAAAATGCAACTCGACAAAATATTTTACTTTTTTTCTTTTTTGCAGTCCTCAAACTCTTGATTTGGCATTTTATGAAGAGTTAAAGTGCTAATTCATATTGTAAACCTATAATTTCTTATATTTAGCCTTATTTTTGTTCGTTTTTACTCATTTTTAAGACTATGCACTTTGTTTTATTTCCATGGTGTGGTTACAACATTTTTAAATTACTATTACGTCGATATCTTTTAAATTTTTCAAGACAAAAAGTAATAAAACTTCATTTTGTAAAGTTATGAGAACACTCCGGCTCTGTATTTCTAATAGATTCACGTTTTTCGATATACTTTTAATGAACATTATAATGCAGTGGATTCATTTCTCTTACCTATACGAAGAAGATTTACTTTTTTTATTTATGAATCGCTCTAGGTGGCACAGTAGTATTTCCTGGCACTTAGGGATAATGATAGCCTTTTAAGAATTTTCACCACTTTCTAACACTGCCCAAAAACCTAAATTCACAGTTGACTGAAATACTTTCAATATAATATTCAGAAATAAATTTGAATACGTATGATAACCGTTTACTTTTTCTGCTATCTTTATAAACCTGAGGCCACTAGTGCTTTTAGGTCTTTTATCATGCAGTGAATAAAAAATTCCAAAAAATATAAAAAAAAAAAACGTAGGTAAAATTATTTCATTTTTTTCTTCACCTGATTAATCCCTCAGCTTGGGAAAGTATGTTCAGTAGATACTGTAATTTTTGCCTAATCATACAACACAAAGCGGGTTAGAACATTATTTAATTACATTACGACAATGGTGTAATGCATTAACCGACTATACAAGTGGTGTTACAATTATTTTGACAATCATAATAAAATAATAACATTTGAACAATTTGTAACAGTATTTCATTAGATACAGACAAATGTGTATTTCATGAATAGTCTGTACACTTTATTATACAATCCGTTTTGACTTCAATTTCACTGATACATGTATCCTGCAGCAAATTGATAACCTCACACAGACTGACCAGGAAGATTGACCGTATATAAATACTAGGAAAGAAAAATAAACATTAGACTCCTCTATGTATCCCCCCTCGTGGGTAGGCTGGAATTAATTCACTTACCATCCGCATTTATTCTAGCCAGGAACGAAATTATATCTCTATACGATCA